TTTCATCAGATGCCATGAATTTATTTTAGCAATGGTGGGAACTTTCCATCGTTTTCCTAGCGTAACATAGAGGCTGACTCATAATTTTCAAGAGCTAGTTCAAAGATTTGCATTACTTCCTATTTTTGATTAAATTAAACCACAGCTGAGTGGTGCACCCCCTGAAGTACGATGTTCTTATCTGGATTTTTTGTTCTCTTCACCTTCCTTTAGTAAAGACCAAGTGTTCTGTTGTGATCACTCTTAAACCAGAATAGGAAATAAACATTATTCTTTCCGATGGAAGTTACTAGGAGAAAGAGCTGAAACTTTTTGTAAGAATTAATTTAATAAACTTAAAAAACATCAGTGATCAAGTTTGCATAGTATGTGAGGCCTTTGAAGGCATAAAGATCAGAAAATTAATAGCAGCAGTAGCTGCTAACATGGAAAAAGAAAGCCATGAGTGGAAGAACAGTAAACTGAAAGTCCTTTATCCTCCTTTCCAGCCCTCAGTTCTCAGAGTTTTGTCTGGCAAGGAAAGCAGGGAATCTGTCTGACTTTCAAATAATTACTGATGTATTACTCCATTGCAGGCTAGTAGCAAGGAGCAGCTGTGCCTGGTAGCCAGAGCCAACTTCTGCCTTTCCCATCCCCCATTTCTGACTGCCTTCCCTGGAGAAAGCTATCTCACTATTAAATAAACTCGGGCTGGGTTGCAAGACAAACCAGGATTTCAAATGAAAAATATTTACTCATGCATAAAAAAGCCCTTTTTTAAAACCTCGCTACTTAGGAAACGATGTGATTTTGTGGGTTACAAATAAAACCAGATTTGTGACACTAGAGTTGTAAAGCTGCCATCTTTCATGAGCCTGGGAAGAGTGACCTTATTCATCATGAGGCTTTGTCAATTCTGCCTCCGTGCAACTATTCTCTTCTTGATACATGTGAGTCATCAGGGCCATGCTTAACCGAGAGGTCTGGTGCCTAAAAAGTACAGGAGTTAATTATAGTTCTTGGCTTTTTGTCAAACTACCCTTCTTTTTCCCACATTCCTCACCAGTTTTAACGGAAAATTAACATTTCTTGAGAGGCAGGATACCAGCATTGTGGTAAGAAACAGTTCTGTAAGAAATCAATACCAAACCATTTCCATTTTCCACCTATATTGAGCCTGAGCCACAGTAATAAAAAGGTCCTTCAATATCCTCATCCTTAAATTGTGTTCTGATTGTAAAAATAGAAAAAGAAAACACAAGTAGAAGTTCTCGGCAGAGTTGCAGGACTGCCAAACGTTCATGATATCTCCACTTAGCTTTACATATAAGGTGAATGTAAAACTGACTGCCTGACTGCTTGTGTTCAGTAAATAACTTGTGTCTGAAAAAGCACACAAATGTGTGGAGGAGTCTTGCTCAAGCTCCTGTTTAAATAATTCACATGCTGACTCCTTAAATTCCTCCTGATATTTCATTAGCAATGCTGTCTTCCTCCACTGTCATGCCATGTAAGTAGTTGCCATGTTGTAGCCAGCTGTTCAGCAACATGTTCATGTCATTTTTGTTGTGTTCTGAGGTGTTTTGAGATGCAAGGAATGCAGAGGATGCCCTCACACCCTGAGGAAGGCTAACACAGGCCACAGCACACTGCGACTCCTGGAATTCATGGCTGCTGGTACAGAATCTATGTAATGGAGCATAACAACCCTTTCATGCCAAACCAGACTTTCTTATATTAAGAATCATATTACCCATAATTATTCTATATACTGTTTTGTTTGGCACTTGGATGGAAGCTTGAAGTGGTACATTTATGTAATATTTATTGAGATGTTAAATGGAACAGCAACCAAATCTGTAGCTTGATTGCGTCTACATGGATGTGGAATTAATAAATCATGTAGTAATTTTACAATTCAATAATCCAGATATCTTTCCATGGAAAATATTTAATAAAGGGGAATATGCCATATCCTCTTACAAAGAGGAGAAACAAAAATCTTGGGAAAGGTGAAGAGTGTGAAATGTCTGTGCTTGAGCCCAGCAAGTGTTCTTGGAACCTGCAGCCTGTTCAGGGAGATTGGTGCTTGTATTTGAGGGGTTTAGTCCTTATTCATTGAAGAAAGAGCATCTCCTCCCAAAACTGATTTATTAAAGCAATTGTAGCACCATCTTTTTGTCAGAGAGGATGGTGCCTGGCGTTTCATTTGATTGTGAAAGAGTGCAGACTAAGCAGCCTATATTCTCAGTATAGGTTTCTGTTTTAGCTAGCATCATATGAAAGGAGCCATCTTGTGGTTGTCTCTTTTTCAAATGTTGTAATATTGCCTTGAAAAGCTGAAGTGAAAGATGCCTCTATGCTTCTGTGATAATTTTTCTTCTAGTTGTTTAGAATAGATGTCAGCAAATTTGTTTTAGATAGATTAGCTCATTTATCAATGAGCTTATATCAATTTAATTAAGTCTATTAGAAGAAACAAACCTTAGTTAACCTAAATGCTATGTATAAACACAAGCCTCAGTCATCACTTTTAAAGTTCTGTCTCCTTAATAACACTGAGTAAGGTTCTGTATGATTCATCTTAGATAGCCATAGAATCATCTATCCTTGCAGCCGTTGGTGACTAAATGTAATGTCAAGGCCAAGGATCACGGTCGTTTGATGAAAGTATAGAAAAATGTTACAAAATTGACTTGGTTGCTGTTTGTCTAGAATATTGATTGAAGGCAAAAATGTACGAAATCCATACCTTCTGGTAAATTTGCTCACATATTCTAACTAACAGATAAGCAAAGTCTTACTTTAGAATGTGCTGTTTAAGGTTAATTGTATTCCTTGGATAGGAAGAAAAGACTGTTCTAGGAAAATGCAAATGTGGAATTGGGGGTTGAAGTGAGACTAGTAGTTACTCATGCTGGAATTGGAGGTAGACTTTGGGAGAAAGAGAGACAGAATTAGTAATAGTTTTTGCTAGAGCTGATTAGGGAAGACAGTGTAAAGATTTATTTTGGGAAACTATTTGAGCCTTTGGATTAAAATTAGACCTGATAGAATTTTCAGTCAGAGGATGCCAATTAACTGGGGCAAAATCCAGCTTTATACTGAAAATGTGTACTGAAAAAGTTCATTCAGAATATGTTTTCTTTGTTTTAAAAGTGTAACCTTTTTAATGAAAATTTAATTTCTTTAAAATTATTTAAATAGTTCAGAACATCAAATTCAAAATTAAATGTTTTTAAATTGTTAAATAAGATGCTGAAGTTGCTTTTAGCTTTTTAAGCTTTTACTGATATTTTTACTTCTCCCCAATTAAAGATAAGACTCTGAAAAATGACATTTTTCTTGAGATGTAAAAAATAGAATAATAGAATCATAGAATGATTTGGGTTGGAAGGGACCTTAAAGACGATCTAGTTCCAATCTGCTTGCCATGGGCAGAGACACCTTCCACTAGACCAGGTTGCTCAAAGTCCCATCCAGCCTGGCCTTGAACACTGCCAGGGATGGGGCATCCACAGTTTCTCTGTGCAATCTGTGCCAGTGCCTCACTGCCCTCACAGTGTATCAATAAATAAGATCAAAACATCAGATGGCATCTCACTATCTAAGAAAATAACTTCGTTGAACGAAACACAATAGTTGTCAATAACGTAAGTAGGAAAATGAAAGGTATTGTACCATGTAAGATTTCTCTATCTTGCATCTAGTAAGGGAAACACAATGCCTATAATGAAAGAAACAGCAGAGGAGTCTTGATTAAGAAATCAGTTAAATGTGAATTAAAATATCTTCCCTCCAAAAGTGATGCTAGTATGACAGTGATGATTATTCTGAGCACTGCATAAGTGAGGCAAAATACATACGGGTTTATTTTTGACACAAATAATCCACTGCGATGTAGGAAGGAAAGTCCTTGGATGTACAGGATTCTGAGAGATAATTGTTTAAATATAAAAATTAAAATAATCACAGTTGCATTGTTCACTTGCCTCATTTCCCTACCTGTTAGTATGCAAAAAGTCTACTTTAAAAAATTGAGGTCCCTGGGCATCTCTGAAGACAGCCACCCCAGTTATCAAGAATCACAGCCTGACCACTGAATCTACGTTTCTGAGTGGGACTTGAATCAAAAGCTTATTTTTTGTATGTTTCTGTAAAAACATGGATTTCCTTTGGTGAAACTGAAATCAGAGATAGAAACTGAAATCAAACATAGGAAATTAAATCAGATTCCAGACTGACGTAATTGTGCAATTTTTTGAGGTTAAGAATCGTAAAAGTCAAGAATTTTGGCATTTTAGTGTATCCTGAGGAGAATAAATATGCATTCTAAAAAATGTGGAATATAATGAATGAGGTTAAAAGAGGATCAAATGTTAGAATGGAGTGCTTGGAAGAGAGTACATTTTAAAAGCATTACAATCCCTGTAATGTCTGAACTCTACAAAAACTGCTGAAAAGTATCAGAGTATCCACACTTAACAGAACTGGACTGAGTTCATTAGAATTACATGGATTCAACTTCCAAGAAGTCATGCTTGCTAAGTGAATTTGTAGTCATACATGTTTTTTCTGCCTAGGTCAGCACTTCCAAATTAATAAACAAGAAGGAGGGTAAGATTTTCCCTAGGTATAAATCACTGCCACCCACTGTTTATGGAAGCTTATAGCAGATCAGCCTTAAAGGTTCCTTTGTACTTCATATAGATTGTTTTTTTTCCTGTTAAGTAGGATCACATTGAGTTTGTAATCAGAAATTGTTTTATTCAAAACAGTAAGGAAAGCATTTTTAAACTGTATTGTGAAATAGTGAAATGGCAGAGTCTGGAAGAAAATGTTGTCATGCCATTATCTGGAAATTCATCCAAAAAAGAAAGTATTTGTCTCCCTGTTTCTTTTTCCACTTTGGCATATTGAATGAACATCTAATTTACTTAATTACCTTTTGGTTCAATAGTAAACTACTGATTTGCTGAAAATCCTTTTTTTATAAAGAGACTTTTCATATATCTATGCAGGAATATGAGCTCTATCTGTATCTCAGAAAGCTTTCAGATGTCATGTGCATGGTACTGGATATATGGTTAGAGAGCCTGGTATAGGTTAATCAGCAAAATGTCTTGTTGATTCACCTCCAGGTGAGTGTTGTCTCTTTTTATCATAGAATCATAGAATCATAGAATAGTTAGGGTTGGAAAGGACCTTAAAATCATCAAGCTCCAACCCCCCTGCCATGGGCAGGGACACCTTGCTCTAAACCATACTACCCAAGGTCTCGTCCAACCCGGCCTTGAACACTGCCAGGGATGGAGCATTCACATCCTCCCTGGGAAACCCATTCCAGTGCCTCACCACCCTAACAGTAAAGAATTTCCTCCTTATATCCAATCTAAACTTCCCCAGTTTAAGTTTTAACCCATTACCCCTTCTCCTACCACAACAGTCCCTAATGAAGAGTCCCTCCCCAGCATCCCTATAGGCCCCCTTCAGATACTGGAAGGCTGCTATGAGGTCTCCACTCAGCCTTCTCTTCTCCAGGCTGAACAGCCCCAACTTTCTCAGCCTCTCTTCGTACGAGAGGTGCTCCAGTCCCCTGATCATCCTTGTGGCCCTCCTCTGGACTTGTTCCAACAGTTCCATGTCCTTTTTATGCTGAGGACACCAGAACTGCACACAGTACTCCAAGTGAGGTCTCACAAGAGCAGAGTAGAGGGGCAGGATCACCTCCTTTGACCTGCTGGTCACACTCCTTTTGACGCAGCCCAGGATACGGTTGGCTTTCTGGGCTGCAAGCACACACTGAAGCCGGCTCGTGTTCATTTTCTCATCGACCAACACCCCTAAGTCCTTCGCCACAGGGCTGCTCTGAATCTGTTCTCTGCCCAACCTGTAGCTGTGTCTGGGATTGCTCCGACCCAGGTGGAGGACCTTGCACTTGGCATGGTTAAACTTCATGAGGTTGGCATCAGCCCACCTCACAAGCATGTCAAGGTCCCTCTGGATGGCATTCCTTCCCTCCAGCGTATCAACCGAACCACACAGCTTGGTGTCATCGGCAAACTTGCTGAGGGCGCACTCAATCCCACTGTCCATGTCAGCAACGAAGATGTTAAACAAGACCGGTCCCAACACCGATCCCTGAGGGACAGCACTCGTTACTGGTCTCCAGCTGGACATTGAGCCATTGACCACAACTCTTTGTGTGCGGCCATCCAGCCAGTTCTTTATCCACCGAGTGGTCCATCCATCAAATTGATGTCTCTCCAATTTAGAGACAAGAATGTCGTGTGGGACAGTGTCGAATGCTTTACACAAGTCCAGGTAGATGACATCAACTGCTCTACCGCTGTCCATCAGTTCTGTAGCCCCATCATAGAAGGCCACCAAATTGGTCAGGCAGGATTTCCCCTTAGTGAAGCCATGCTGGCTGTCACCAAGCACCTTGTTGATTTTCATGTGCCTTAGCATGCCTTCCAGGAGAATCTGCTCCAAGATTTTGCCAGGCACAGAGGTGACACTGACTGGTCTGTAATTCCCCGGGTCATCCATTTTCCCCTTCTTGAAAATGGGGGTTATATTTCCCTTTTTCCAGTCGTCGGGAACTTCACCTGACTGCCATGATTTTTCAAATATGATGGCCAGTGGCTTAGCAACTTCATTCGCCAGCTCCTTCAGGACCCGCGGATGGATTTCATCAGGACCCATGGACTTGTGCACATTCAGATTTTTAAGATGGTCTCGAACCAGTTCCTCTCCTACAGTGGGCCCAAAGTCTTCATTCTCACAGTCCCTGCGTCTGCCTTCCAAGACTTGGGTGGTGCAATCAGGGCCTTTGCCAGTGAAGACCAAGGTAAAGAAGTCATTCAGAACCTCAGCCTTCTCCAAATCCTGTGTAGCTAGTTCACCCGAGAGCTTCCTGAGGGGGCCTACATTCTCCCTAGTCTGTTTTTTATTTGCTATGTACCTGTAGAATCCCTTCCTGTTATCCTTAACATCCCTAGCCAAGTTTAATTCTAACTGGGCCTTAGCTTTCCTAACTCGGTCCCTAACTTCCCGGACAACATCCCTGTACTCTTCCCAGGCCGCCTGTCCTTGCTTCCACTTTCTATAGGACTCTTTTTTCATTTGAATTTTCCTCAGCAGTTCCTTATCCGTCCAAGGAGGTCTCCTGGCCCTCCTGCTGCACTTCCTTCTAGTTGGGATGCAACACTCCTGAGCTTGTAGCAGGTGATCCTTTTTATCATTTACTGTGGTATTTTAACAAGTGAATATTTGTTCCTTTTTCTTCTTCTAAATCTTTGAATTGATTCTTGAGAAGCATAGCATATTTTTGACCATTTCCAGTAGATGCTTGACATCATTTAAACCACTGCTAAAAGCCTGTTGAACAGCCTTGGTTCTTGCAGATACCAGCCTGTCATTCACTGGTGCCATATCTTCTGCAATATTTAAATCCAGGTTCTGATTTAATTGGAACGAGTTGAATTTTCACTGAACTCATCAAAATAATGGAACAGCTTTAAACTAGAATACTAAGTTAATTAGATTGGTAATTTTACTAGATAAATCTGTGCCAGAGATAACTAGTTGGCTGGACTGAAGAAATAATAGAATCATAGAATGGTTTGGGTTGGAAGGGACCTTAAAGATTATCAAGTTCCAACACTGCTGCAACGGGCAGGGACACCTTCCACTAGACCAGGTTGCTCAAAGCCCTGTCCAGCCTGGCCTTGAACACTTGAAGACTTTGCCTTATATGCCACTTCAGTACATTTTCCTCTATCTGTTAGGCATATTAGAATACCTTCTGAAACAACACAGTTCTGAGCAGGAAGTACCAAGTGTAAATGCTGGCCTGAAAGCAAAAGCTTTAGGTGGTGTAAACCAGCATGTTAACTTGAAAGCATTTCCATGTAGCAATTTTTATTCTACAGATGCTCCCACTCCTGCTGTCGCAGTGACATTTTTATATCAAAATCTAGTATCCTAACGTGCAGATATTTTTATTGACCACGCTTTCTCTGACAGATATACAGACATTTTAGGGAGAAAAGAACATGTGTTTTATTTAGTTCTGATACTGCTGTTCTGAAGAAGTTTGTGAAATTAGACCTAGGAAGCTTGATGGAGCATCTTACAAGGAAGCTTAAGCCACAGCCATTGGTTATATCAACATAAAGGAATTGAGTAACCCCAAAGGAATGGCAATGTGTTATTTTAAGAATCAGACAGGACATGAGAGACTGATATCACATGTTGGCATGCAAGTTGATGCTGAAATCTTTAGCCATGCCAGGTTTTAAAATGATGGATAGTACTGTGTCTAAAACATGTTATCTTTTTTGAAACACACATAATTTTCTCCCTACATAAGGAATAATTGTCTGCTTATCACATTAACAAAATGGATGGTCAAACTTGCAAATCAGCCTTGACTTTCAAGAGTTTGAGAAGCTGATGAGTACCCCAGCAGTTAGCATACCAGCCTGCATTATGATAGAACAGGTTTGGTTTGTCCACTACTACGGATTTCTTAAGTTATCCTGGGTTAGACATACAGGTCCAGGTCCACAAAGGCTTCTTGCTCATATTGGTAGCAGCTGAAATGCACTTCAAATAGCACTTACTTTCTTAAAAGCTTCCATGGGCCTGTGCCTAGGTCTAGGAGAACTGCTGGGACTCCATCATTCCCCAAGGTTTGTGAGGCAAAGTGTAATTTATGTGCAGTTCTCAGCTGCTACAAAAGCCAGGGGCACAGAAATCCATAAACAAAAGCTTGTAAGTTTTTCTAATACATCAACCATGAAAAATCTTTGATACTAAAGGTCTAATATATTCATACTATAAGGCATATTACCACTGAAAAAAAAAACCCAAACAAAACAAAATGAAACGAAGAATCAAAAGTACAAGCTATAAATCTTTTGTACGTTTGGGAAATGCTTCAGTTTTTTTCTCAATGAAATGCTAGGAAAATAAAGCCCTGTGTGTGGATAAGAGCCATTTGGCTTAAATAACCCCCAAATTTGATGCTATAAGCATATTTGTATTGAAAGAATTCCAGGCAGTTGTGATATATATAGTTACACAAAACAATAGTTCTCTGCTTTCTACAAGTGTAACACTGTGTGCAATTCTGGCATGCCACTGTTGCTGTTTTTAGAGATTCTAGTCTAAATGTGTTGGGGTGTGTGACCTCAGCAGTTAAAGTTATGCACGCACTACGTGTATAGGGAACTTTTGCTGGGAGTCTGCGTGCTTTCCAAAGTAGGCTTGGGATGAAAAGAGAATCTATTTCAACTTTTCAGTCTGGGGAAAAAGCTTAACTAACCCAGGAATATTAATTCAGAAATTCACTGAGGAATTGTAAGGATAATCAGAGATCAGGTCTATAGTGAATTTAGGAGCAGAGCTTCTGAAGGGAGTTGTAACTAGCAGACAGCTTGGGAATAGGCACAGTGCTAGAGTCTCAAATGAGTGGGATATTTCCTGGAAAAGAGAATCAGGAAGAAAAATGCTAGTGATACTTTGAGCCTAACTTAGTGTTTCTCACCTCTAGCCACTTATTTGGACTATTCTGACCAAATGCTCAAGAGCTCTGCCAGGGCAGGTCTTGTGTAATAAGTTCCATTATTTGAGCTTAATTCAGTGGTCTAGATTTGGGATATATTTAGCTATTGGCTATAAATGTTTGCTCTGTTTTATTCAGGATTTCTATGGTTTTACTGCCAGGCAACTTAACTGAGAGTAACTCGGTTTTCCCCTGTGTCTTGTATTACGGGAAAGAACCCATAACTGTCAAGAGTTTCTATGATGCTGTATGATTTTTTATTTTTCTTTTTTGCAAAACTGATGTAATTCTTATACAATATATATGTTATAGTGTTACTTAGTCCTTATGGTTACTATTATACAGATGATGTACTGCTGGAAATGGAAGTGGGAAACCCTATCACTCAGAACTACATATTTGTAAGAACAGTATGTCAAGAATAGGAGCAGTGAGGGTGCTGACTCACAAGTGGTCATGCTCACCTAGTGATGGATGTGACACTTCCAGCTCCCAGCTGTCCTTTCCATCCCATGACATGCAGTTTTCCGCCCTCAGTGCAGAGGTGGTTCAGCTGTTTATGTGGCA